ACATGATCCTATACCTTAAAGACCCAAAAAACTCTACTCAGAAGCTTCTAGACATCATCAATAGCTATAGCAAGGTAGCAGGATATAAAATCAACATAGAAAAATCATTAGCATTTCTATACACTAACAATGAGCAAACGGAAAAAGAATGTATGAAAACAATTCCATTTACAATAGCCTCAAAAAAATCAAATACCTAGGTGTAAACCTAACAAAAGATGTGAAAGACCTCTACAAGGAAAACTATACACTTCTGAAGAAAGAGATTGAGGAAGACTATAGAAAGTGGAGAGATCTCCCATGCTCATGGATTGGTAGAATCAACATAGTAAAAATGTCGATACTCCCAAAGTAATCTACATGTTTAATGCAATTCCCATCAAAATTCCAATGACATTCATTAAAGAGATTGAAAAATCTACTGTTAAATTTATATGGAAACACAAGAGGCCACGAATAGCCAAGGCAATACTCAGTCAAAAGAACAATGCAGGAGGTATCACAATACCTGACTTCAAACTATATTACAAAGCAATAACAATAAAAACAGCATGGTACTGGCACAAAAACAGACATGAAGACCAGTGGAACAGAATAGAGGATCCAGATATGAAGCCACACAACTATAAGCAACTTATCTTTGACAAAGGAGCTAAAAATATACGATGGAGAAATAGCAGCCTCTTCAACAAAAACTGCTGGGAAAACTGGTTAGCAGTCTGCAAAAAACTGAAACTAGATCCATGTATATCACCCTATACCAAGATTAACTCAAAATGGATCAAGGATCTTAATATCAGACCCCAAACTCTTAAGTTGATACAAGAAAGAGTAGGAAATACTCTGGAGTTAGTAGGTATAGGTAAGAACTTTCTCAATGAAACCCCAGCAGCACAGCAACTAAGAGATAGCATAGATAAATGGGACCTCATAAAACTAAAAAGCTTCTGTTCATCAAAAGAAATGGTCTCTAAACTGAAGAGAACACCCACAGAGTGGGAGAAAATATTTGCCAATATACATCAGACAAAGGACTGATAACCAGAATATACAGGGAACTTAAAAAACTAAATTCTCCCAAAACTAATGAACCAATAAAGAAATGGGCAGTGAACTAAACAGAACTTTCTCAAAAGAAGAAATTCAAATGGCCAGAAAACACATGAAAAAATGCTCACCATCTCTAGCAATAAAGGAAATGCAAATTAAAACCACACTAAGATTCCACCTCACCCCTGTTAGAATAGCCATCATCAGCAACACCACCAACAACAGGTGTTGGCGAGGATGCGGGGAAAAAGGAACCCTCTTACACTGTTGGTGGGAATGTAGACTAGTACAACCACTCTGGAAAAAAATTTGGAGGCTACTTAAAAAGCTGGACATCGATCTACCATTTGATCCAGCAATACCACTCTTGGGGATATACCCAAAAGACTGTTACTCCAGAGGCACCTGCACATCCATGTTTATTGCGGCACTATTCACAATAGCCAAGTTATGGAAACAGCCAAGATGCCCCAGCACTGACGAATGGATTAAGAAAATGTGGTATCTATACACAATGGAATTTTATGCAGCCATGAAGAAGAACGAAATGTTATCATTCGCTGGTAAATGGATGGAATTGGAGAACATCATTCTGAGTGAGGTTAGCCTGGCTCAAAAGACCAAAAATCGTATGTTCTCCCTCATATGTGGACATTAGATCAAGGGCAAACACAACAAGGGGATTGGACTATGAGCACATGATAAAAGCGAGAGCACACAAGGGAGGGGTGAGGATAGGTAAGACACCTAAAAAACTAGCTAGCATTTGTTGCCCTTAATGCAGAGAAACTAAAGCAGATACCTTAAAGCAACTGAGGCCAATAGGAAAAGGGGACCAGGTACTAGAGAAAAGGTTAGATCAAAAAGAATTAACCTAGAAGGTAACACCCACGCACAGGAAATCAATGTGAGTCAATGCCCTGTATAGCTATCTTTATCTCAACCAGCAAAACCCCTTGTTCCTTCCTATTATTGCTTATACTCTCTCTACAACAAAATTAGAGATAAGGGCAAAATAGTTTCTGCTGGGTATTGAGGGGGGGAGCGGGAGGGGGTGGAGTGGGTGGTAAGGGAGGGGGTGGGGGCAGGGGGGAGAAATAAACCAAGCCTTGTATGCACATATGAATAATAAAAGAAAAATGAAAAAAAAAAAAAAACAAAAAAAACCCAAAATCTGATAAGGGACACACCAAAAACAAAATAGGGTTAGGGGACTGGCCACTTTAGAATCAGCAGAAAGTACTTCAAGAAAAACAAAACAACTAGTAGAAAGGTCAACAACAACAACAAAAGGCCACTGAGGTGTTAGCACAGCAACACTGGAACATTGGTAGAAGATGGGCAAGCAGGAGGCTAGATGGCATGGGGCTTCATTACAATAACTTATTTTTAATGGAAAAACAAAATCAAATAAGGCACAAAGTTCAACTACAGATTTGGTCTATTAATTGAACTTAGTGTGGTTCATCACACTGTATATGGTAAATATTATCTCAGTGTAACAATATCATTTTATATTCACTTTCAAATGCAAGCAAATAGTATTGGTATAAGCTGGAATAAAAATTTCTATTTGCTTTAGCCAATGCTGAAAGTGACTGAAGTATAAATGTAATTAGCATTAAAAGACCAAAATGCTGCAGTAATTTATGACTCTGAAAGTTATTAATGATGTACAAAATAATTAAGAACTCATACATAGTTAAATGAGCAGGAAAATAGATTGACAGTTAATGATATTAAGTTAATACATTTTTTATTATAAAGTTTTTATTAGGATATATTCATTATATGGGGGATTCACAGTGAATTCCAATTAGGTTTACACTATACATTGGTTAAATCGCACCCATTATCTCTTCCCCTCAACCCACTCACTCCCCCCCACACAAACAATTGCAAGAGGTTTCTTTGTTCTATTTCATATAAGCATAAGAAGTCCATCAACCTAAGTGAATGCTTTAAGGAGAGTATTATATCCTTTGAAACAAAAAATGTTTATAAAATATTCGTAATACAGGAATACAAAGAACTCCACTTCACTAGAGTTATCCAAGAAAAGGTTCCATTAGGGAATTCTTTTCATCCTGTGAAATGTCAACTTTGATGATTTAAAATTTCACCAAGGGGGAGGAATAAACCACAAAAATCACCTTCCAACCACAAAACGTAAAGAACATAAAGATCATGAAGGAAAAAGTGTGAAAGAAAAATAAGACACCACCAGAATGTCCAGGCTCCATTACTGACTATAAACACCCATTAATCATGCCTTGTGGTAGAATGACTGCAAGAAAAACCTTTCAGCCAACAGACAAATGTCTAAACTTTCCACTCTACCTTTCATATCAACATGGAAAAATCTTTGACTTTTTGTAAAAAAACAACAACAACAAAAAAAACCGCATTCTATGTTTAACACTAACTCCAATACCAACAGGCACAGGAAAAATTATCAAAGGGAAGGTCTTAAATAATGAATCCAGTGGCTCCTAATATTGGTTGTGCAAAGAGTTTCCAGAAGAACTTTCAACAGCAAAACAAACTGATGAGGCCTACTCCAAATCTGCTACATTAGAAAACTGGAGTGGCAGGTGGGGGTAGTGGGAAGACTTCTGTAAAGAAAAAACAAAAACAAAACCTCAAGTACATCTTTATCTTCTTGTCTATTTCTCAGCACGCCTTTATAACACAGCTACAGTCATGTGCTGCTTAACAGCAGGACACATTCTGAGAGCCAATCATAATGTGATCTTTCTGTTCTACAAACATCAAATTGCTATGATGTCACCAGGTGATATAATCTCATGGGATCATCAAGGCACCTGTGGCCCACAATTGTCATTTTGACCAAAATGTTATTGTGTAGTATGACTGTACTGTAAAGTTCTTTCTACTCACCTTTCCTCCCATTTTCTCTTAAATTCTCTCTAATCAGGCTTTCAAAGACACCAGTGATCTCCATCACTGTTAATTGTCAATTCAGCGTCTATATCCCTTGACCTATCAGCAGTATTTGACGTATTTGGTCTATCATTTTTTTCCAATAAACTCACCTTTCTCTTGGCTTTTAGGGCAGTTCTTCCATTACTTAGCTTCTACATCTCCTACATTTCCCTGAATTAGATAGCCCAACATTGCATTTTTGATTCTCTTTTCTACTTTCACTAACTCCCTTTGATCTCGTCCAACCCCATTGCTTAAACACTATCTATATACTGATGACTTACAAATTTCTATCTCCAAACAAGAGAACTCTCTGTACAAAAGACTCTTGTATCCAACTATGTGACATTTCTACCTAGATTCTTTGCTCTAAACCCTTCAATAGCTTCCTATCTCTTTCAAAAGTCCAACAGGATTCACTCCCTTATTACCTCTTCAGTTTCATCTATTTTCTCTTCATCACTTCTTTCCAGCAACATGGGCCTCCCCGAATTTCCTCAAGCATACTAGACACGGTGTATTTCTGCCTGTGGCTTTCGTAATTGCTAGTATCTAAACCTGGAATTCACTTTTCCTCAGACTTTTGAATAGCCTACTCTCTTGTTTTCTTCAAGTCTTTAATTCAATTGACACCCAGGTAGGAGTTCTTGGTCAAGGTACTTTAAATTGTCTCCATACTCCTGGGGAACTTCCTTTCCTGCTCTGGTTTTCTTCTCAGCAATGATTACCAATAAACATAGTATACATTATTTATTGTTGATTTCCTGTACGATAAAATAGAAACCCTGTGAGGATAAGACCTTTTTGTCAATTTTAATTTTTGGTTGTGTAAGCTCAAAAATTGGAATAGTGCCATGTTGATACATATGAAATCCTTAATAAATGTTCATTCAATGAATGAATAAAGATTCACTGACTTAAACAATCATTTACAAATATTGAGAAACTATGTTCGAACAACAACTTTAGACTCAAAACATGGCAGTCAAGTCCAGAAAATATTTGCACTTATAAATTATCACAAGGTCTTTTCTGGAAACCTGTTAGACACATACTCAGATCTCAATTCAGGTGTAATGACTCAGAAACTCTAAACATAGGACCAGCAATGTGATAACAGCCCTCCACATTATTCTAAAACATGGTAAGTTTAAGAAATTGCTTTAAAAAAAAAAATCTGAAGCAAAAATCCCACTAATGCTATTAAGTTTATTCCTACCTCTGATGAAGCAGCTGATCCAAATGATGTTAATGGCTTATTCCAGGCACTGACTGACGGTGGCTGAGGTGGACTAATAGGACCTACTGAAAAGAAGTCACAGGGAAGGTAGTTACTAGAATTTAAAAGTTAACAATCTACAGTCCATTTAACCCTTTCACACAATAAAACAATAACTTTATACATCACACATAAGGAGACTCGTACATGCCAAGTTGTATACACACATATATACACACACTTAAAAGTGTACCCATAAACACGTTCTTAATAAACATGCTTATTTTAGAAACATGGATTTGAAAAAGGAAAACTAAGAATACTTCTTCCTTCTAAGAAAAATGGGAATGCTAGAAAAACTTAATGGAATATATAAATAAAACTGAAAACAAACTTCAGTATTCCCATGCCACTCCCTACCTCTCAGTTCATAAGTTCCACTTACATTTCTTAGAGATGTCATTCAGCACAGCTGGAGGGGCACCTGGTTATCCCATAATTCAGCAGTAAGAGTGCCATGTGATTGTGGGGTCTGCATGGATTTTCCTGTGGCTACATAATCTGTGCCATTGGGTGTCTGAGCAGAAGGTAGCCTAATTGAAGGTGGTGGCTGTTTTGAAGACTGTGTTGAAATTTGCAATGGATTCTGGACTGGTTTGTGGGTCTGCGACGTGGTGAGGGTTGGAGCAGTTGAGGCTGGGGCAGGGGCTGCAGCAGCTGAGGAAGGGACAAGTGGTACTGAGGCTGTTGTGGCTGAAGCTGGGGCAGTTGGGGTCGGCACAGTTGGGGCTGAGACTACTGGGGTTGGGGCTGGAGCTGAAGCTGGTGCTAGGGCTGAAGCAAGGATAGGAATTGAGGCTGATGCAAGAACTGGGACAGAGACTGGGGTTGAAGCTGAGGAAAGGATAGGGGTTGGGGGTGGGGCTGAGACTGGAGCTGAAGAGGAGGCTGTGGCTGTAGCTGAAGTGGAGGCTGGAAGTGGACCTGAGGCTGAGGTTGGAACCGGAGCTGAGTTTGAGGTCAGAACTGGAGCTGGGGTTGAGGCTGGAGCTAGAGCTGTGGGTGATGTTAGAACTGGAGTTGCTGCTGAGGCTGGAACTGAAGCTGCAGGTAATGTTAGAACTGGAGTCGAGGCTGAGATTGGAACTGGAACTGAGGCAAGAACTAAGGCTGGAGACTGGGCTTGTTGGGTTCCTGTAGCCTGTTTTTTGGCAAATCTTGGAGGAAGCTTGGAAGTCTGACTTCTTCCTTTTTCATTTGTATTCTTTTTGTTCCAGACCTTAAAAATTGGTAGAAGTCATTTTTGTCAATCAATGATGTGGCCAAAAGCAACAGTTCATGGCATGCAATTTCTAACATAACTTCATACTGCTAACTTAGCTCTTTTATTTTTCTAGTTAGGTACTCAGAGTAAGAATGTTAAGGTTGCTAATGAGATTTTTAAACTACAAGAAGCCAAGATGACATAACAAGAAAAGACAAATATTACATATTTTTGATATACAGGTCCACAATTTTCCCAACACAGTTGAGAAGTTGAAAATAAAGGAAGTTTGTAATAAATTTATGTGTCAGCAAAACTGGACCTGACCTGAATTGACAAAAGACTACTTATTGTCTTTATTAAACTCGTAACAATTGCCACAAAAACATAAATTATGGGAGTGTGGCTGGAGCGTTTGCTACAGAGGGTATATACACTATCATGTTGTCTTAAAAAAATCAATAATTCAATAAATGACCACTGAATTATCTGATTTCCAGGGTTATGGGAGTAATTAAACTCAACAAATTATCTTGATTCACCCTATATATTTAAATACATTAATTCAGATTACAAAATGAATTTTTATAGGCTAAGAAGCTGCAATCTATTGTGATTGTAGCATCTGCATTCATTAGGTTTCCACAATAATTTAAAATCAACTCAACTCTACCATAGGGCAAATAACGTGACCAGTACTAACACATAAAGTACATTGTTGTTTCTACGGTGATTATATCGTATTTAAAAGTTCCTAAGTTCTGATTTAACAGTTAAAAGTTGTGAATATGAACTTACTTTAGTGAACTTCATACTTGACTTCAGCAGTATACAGAAACCTGTACCATTTGCTAACATACTGTGAGCAACAGTGGAAATAAGCAGTGACAAACTGAAACAAGCTTTAACCTGTGTAACCTGTTCTTCCTTCTTTCGGCGTTCCTCATCCTGTAAACGTTTTTGTTGTTTCTTGGATACCACTTCAGTAAAACCATCATCATTTAAATTTGACTGGGGGTCTTCAACTACTGTTACTTCAGGATGATCATCAATTATAACAACACCTACCAGTGGGAAAAAGATTTACACAATATTTGTTTTTTTCAAATGAAAGAGAAATGTTTGTCAAGTAGTTTTAAAAACAAAGAAAAAAAGCCAGAGACTCAGTTCTTATATTAAAGTACAAACTACTTCCGACCCTGTAAGAGCTTTAAAGATTTCAGATTTATGAAAAAAAATCATAACTAAGGTTAAAAATAAAAGTCCTAAAACTATATGCTTTGAATGACATTTTTGCTTTTTCCTTAAGGTTAACGCCTAAACAAAACTCCAAATTATCCCATGACCTAACTCTTTCTTTCAGCTGCAGCTCTCCATACTGCTTTAAAAATAACAGTACTTTATCTCATCATTTTAAAAGGCAGCAGTATTATTTTTCTGTTTCAAAGGAAAAAATAAACCCTAAGAGGATGATCTGTTAAGTTAGGAGTCTAGCAGAGCTGCTCTTATGACTCGTAATGCCTTTATTATGCAGCGACTCTCGTGTACAGTGAGTAATAGTTAAAAACAAGGGAATACAAATAAAGCAGCAACGTCACCTCGCTGATAATTTGATGTATTCAAACTGTCTAACTAATCATTATTTTGGCTGTCTTAAAATTATATTATTTGAGAAATCTAAATCCATTAACACTTCAGAGAAAAATTAATTAGGAGATGTGATTTTTGAAAGAGTTCATTGGGAATCTATAAACAATTCTTTTTACATACTAAATATGTGCATTTATGTAAAGATTAGGATGGAAAATGAAAAACTGAATATTACAACTGACTTTTACTGTTTTGAAAAATTACTGTCATTCTGTTTTACTAATAAAAGCTTTATTTCAAAAGAAAAAAACCCCTAATTGATTCTGACTTATCTAAGATACTTCTGTTGTTTAAATCCTTTCAGAAATTAGTAAATATGAATATAGGTTCATTACAATGAAAGGTCTCAAACATTTTAAAGGATGTCATGTACATACTGACATATCATGTACATTACTGAAAGATTCATTATAATATTCTAAATTTACCTTAACTTTTCATTTACAGTAGTCCCCTCTTACCAGCAGTTTGACTTTGCAGGATTTCAGTTACCTATTGTCAACCATGGTCCAAAAATATAAAATGGAAAAGTCTCGAAATCAACATTTCCTAAGTTGCATGCCATTCTAAACACTGTAATGAAATCTTGTGCCATCCCACCTGGGGAACAGATCATTCCTTTGTCCAATGTATCCATGCTACCCACCCATTACTCAACTGGGAACTTACAGTAACTTAATGCTCTATTATTTACCTCACTTTATCTCATTAGGTAAGCACAGTATAAGGAGAGAGACCATAATCACCTAACTTTTATTACCACGGTCTGGCTTTTCTGTGGATTGTAGGACATTTAGCAGTATCCCTGATCATTTACCCACTAGATGTCAATAACACTCAACCCAAGTTCTGACAACTAAAAATGACTAAAGAAACTGTCAAATGCCCCCCAAGAATGTTTAGAATCACTGCTCATATTTACAATCACTGCTTTAAGTAATCTTAACTAAAAATCCTTAAGCATGCAATTTTAAAATCAGTTTTTCATATGAATTAAAAATACAAGTTTAGGGATGGTGGAGTGGCTCAAGTGGTAGAGTGCCTGCCTAGCAAGTGTGAGGCCCTAAGTTCAAACATCAGTACCGTTAAATAAATAAAAAGTACTAGTTTAAAACAGCAGTTCTCAAACTTGAACATGCACTACAACCAAATGGGTAACTCATACTTCTGTGACTTACTCCCAGTTTCTTATTTGGGAGACTTAGGATAGACAGGATTTGAATTTCTTACAAACTCTTAGGTGATGTTGACAGTCTGTGGACTACACTTGGAGAACCACTGGTCTAGAAATAATGCTGAGGAGCTGAGTACAAATCAGGGTTTAATATGTATAAACAATCATTAATTAGAAGAAAAACTCATCTACAGCTCTAATATTGGAACAACTGTACCTACCCTAACTTTCCCATGACTACCATCTGATTTTAACTTAGTAGATCAGTAAATCTCCCAGTTTTACTCAGTGTATTCAGCTTCACTTGAGTGAATGGCAAATAAATAGCACACTTAAAAATACATAAATGTCTCTTCACAGATATTCCTTATCCAGTGTTTTGCTATTGCTTATGATCCTTCACATTTGATACTCAATCATTTCATGGCTTTCCTAAGCTATTTATCCATTGCAAAACATCACCTCCCATCCTACTACTACTTCTCTTCTCACCATACCTTAGAAACCAATTTTGCCAAGGTCTTAACCTATTGAGTTTAGCACTTCTTTTTTTTTTTCCTTTCTTTTTTAAAGAAAACAGAATCTACACAGATAATTAAAGATTTTCACTTAGGTATTTTTGTGTTCTCACATGTTTGGCAAGGTATGGAGGAGTTAATCAGTTTTCTCCTTTTTTAATGAAGAACAGTAAAACCCTCTTGACTTTCCTTAAAATTTTTATCGAATATTCAAGGTTACGCTAAATGCTGGTGTTAATGTGGGTCAAATCAGTTAACATTACATAATCAGCCTCTATCTCTACCTTTAATGTGTAACAACACAAAACGAACTTATGACATACTTGCGTAATTGTTGAGATCAAACTGTGATAGAGCATCTACTTTCTCTTTGGCTTTTTTAGGAGCTGGTTTGGTGTCTTCTCTTTTTTTCCCAGTGGTATCCTTTGAATTCTTCTGCCCTGTACCATTAGGTATTCCTTCCTGGTGGTGTGCAGGGTTGCTATTAACAGGATCAACACCAGCTGTGCCTGCAGACTGGTCATCAAATGGCCTTCAAAAAATAGTGAGATATTACTACCTTCATTTGCTCAAACAACAGAAAAATGCTGTACCTCGCAGTTTCTAAAGTTTAATCTAACATGAAACAGAACTGTGATAAAAGACCCTAAGTTTAATAGCATAAGTCTTAGCAACTTGAGTTCTTCCCATCAATTAAGTTCTAGAACTCTTAATTATCCTTGGGAGATTTTTATTATGTCCATTTGCCAACTACATTATAATTGAGCTATTTAACATTGTTTGTAGAAGAAACTTTATGTAATCTTATCAAATTCAAAGGATTCACTACTTGATCTTTCCCAAAGTGGGAAGTAAGCATTCTGATTATGGTGTGAGGGTGGGTGGGTGTGTGTACGTGTGTGTACGTGTGTGTGTGTGTGTGTGTGTGTGTGTGTGTGTGTGTACGTGTGTGTATATATACACTCATCAGGTTTATACGTGGATACAAACATTAAAAAAAAAAAAACACCGTTAGCACAGAGTGGTGGTGCATACCTTTAATTTTGTCCTGCAGAGGCAAGAGGACTACAAGCTCCAGGCTGGTTGGGACAAACTTAGGGAGACTCTAACTCAAAACAAAAATACAAACAAAAGGTCTGGAGGTGTAGCTCAACCAGTAGAGGGCTTGCCCAGGATGCAAGAATCCCTCTTCCCTAAATGCTTTTATTAAGAAAATATTTTGCTTCACAAACTAAATGCATTCCTAGCTTTGGTTTCCTAATATAACAATTTTATTTAAAAAAATTTCCAGGTGAAGGAGAATGATGGCGGGTGAATTCAACTATGATACATTGTAAGAAGTTTTCTAAATGTCACAATGTACTCAAATATAACAATAATATAATTTAAAAAATTAAGAAAAAAAATTCTAGGTGAAGACCATGGATTTTCATATTAGCCTGTATTATTACTCATGATAAAAGCTTACCAAGTAAACTTTTACCTGACATGACCTCAAACATTTGAAGAATGAATTCATTTCTTCTAAAAAGGACTCACGTAAAGCATGTTTTTACTCTAATCACTCACAGCTATTCCTGTTGGTTCAAAGTTGCTATCTACACAGCACAAAAATCAAGATTTCTACCAAATCTTATTATGTGAAATTCTATTTTGTTGTAGTGAAGGAATTACACTGTAATCTATACTGCAGATTTGAACTCAGGTCTTGTGCTTGCTAGGAAAGTGCTCTACCATTTGAGCCATGCCCCCAAGCCTCTTCCCCCATCCCCTCTTTTAGTTACTTTTCCAAATAGGGTCTTGCATTTCCTCAGGGCAGGCCTCTGATCAACTGTGACCAATTGGACCAACTATGATCCTCCTGAATAGCTAGGATTACAGGTATAATACCACCACGTGTGGCCTTGTCAGGATTTTTGTTATTCTAATCTCTTAAAACTTTCAAAGGGATGTTCACATTCTGAGTTAAGCAGGTACATTTCTCTGGAACTTTTTCTAAGTTATCTAGAAAGTAAAAGTATTTTCCTTAATGATCACAGTAATTTGAAATGCTAAGTATGTGTAACTGATGGATTCAGATTAATACAATATTGTCCAAATAAATTCTTATTAGCTCAGGTTACAAACCTGGGAATTTGAACTAAAAATTGAGCCCACAATAATAATGGTTGCTTACTGTATACTACGTGTTATGACACATATTATCTCAAAAATATTCTCTCAGTAATCTCCACATATTCTTACAAATACTATTACTTATTCCCTTTTTAAAAAAAAATTTATAGTGGTACTGGGGTTTGAACTCAGGGCCTCACCCTTTCTAGACAAACATTCTACCACCTGAGCTACTCCGCCAGCCCATTTTTAGTGTTGGGTATTTTTGAGATAAGTTCCCTCGAACTATTTGCCCAGGCTGGCCCAGAACTGTGATCTTACTGAGTAGCTAGCATTGTAAGAGCTCAGTCACGAGTGCCCAGCCAAAACCACTTAATATACATACTTTTATGGTACTAGGGTTTGAACTCAGGGCCTCATGCTTGCTAGGCAGGTGCTCTACCACTTGAGCCAGTCTACCAGCCCTCTTCCCTATTTTACTGGCTAGACAGGACCCAGAAAATACCAGAGTCTAGATTTTAACCAAGGCATCCTGAACTTTAACTATTGTTTTATAATGCTTCCTAATGCCAAAATCAATAGTAATATATATTATAGTAATATGTTATAACCACACTTCAATATTTAAAAGAATAAGCCAAGTTTAATGTAATTTTGAAAACTGCCATTGCATTTATGTTGTTGGCCTTGGTGGCTGGGTAGGTATTTGTTTTCTGGGCCTCTCTCTAGTTGGATCATTCACTGTAGGTTTGCAAGTCCAGAAGGGAGTATAATTTATCCCTAATATTCAACAATGACTTTTGAGAAACCAATACAAAATATATGGTTATAACACAGTAGTTTAGTTTAAGTCTCAAAGAACACCTGTGCTAAGAAGGAAAAGGAGGGCTGCTCACCAGCAAGATGACTAATCAAAAGGAGATACCGTGTGTGTCCCTCCCTTGGTGTGTAGATTTTTCCAAAGCCACAAATTTCCAAGAAGATAAAACTTAGCAGGGAAAGACTCCTGAGATACATTAACCTCTCTTCCTCAAGCACTCTTATACTTTGGGAACAGAAAAAAGCATTTGGGGAGTACAATGTCTTGGTACTATATCTAGATTGGCTTCTTGTATAATTCAATCAAGAATTCTACTTTCAGCTTCTTTAAAGGCACAAAGGTTTTGTATCTGAAACAAAGGACTTACCCTCTTTTCCCACTTTTTGATGGTGGGCCGCTTCTTCTTTCATTCCTGGGGCCTGAGAAATTCCTTCCTGATTTGGGTGGACCAGTGTTGCCACGTCTATTCTGCCGATCTATCCCAGGTCTTTGACTAGAAAAACTTCTCTTGGCTATTTCCCTCTTTGGAGGTAAGACACTCTCTCCAGCCTTTACAACTGCTTGTGCATTCAAATCGGCATTTTTCTTTTCATCCCTCTCACGCCTCTCATTGAAATCACTGCTTTCAGAAGCTGTTTCCCACTCTTCATTTGCCTGATCTGAAGAGTTCTGATTAGATAAATCTGGTGTCTTATTCCCTGAAATATCTGCAGCAGTATTAACTGGTTCTTGAATCACGTTATTAACTGTGCCATTTGTGGGTACCACCACCTCATTTGTTTTTGAAGCAGCCTCCCTCTCTCTTAGTCGTCTAAATCGAGGAGGTTTATCTTGCCTTGGTGGTCGGGTAGGACGTTGCCTTCGGGGCCTCTCTCTAGCAGGGTCAAATTTTCGTTCAAATTTTGGAGGTCGTTTATCGGCTGGAATAGGAATAAACTGATCATGTCTTCTTGGTGGCTCTCCATCTTCTGGTTTAGGTGTTTCTGCCTGCCTTGGATTCCACTGATTGTCCCGATAAGCAGGTCTTCGTAAGGTAGAAGGACGTGATGGACGGCCTCCAGGATCCCTTCCACCACGTCTGAATGTTCCCCCTCTGCCTCGTCTAGTAGGCTCGCCTTTAGGAAGAAAGCCTGGTTTAGATTTATCATCATCCCTCATGTAAGGCTTTTCTAGTGGCCTATTATCTATTCGAACATGATTTTCAGGCTTGAAAGAAGATTGAGGCTTTATAGGTTTTTTGTTTTCAGAACGCTCTTCTCTTTTGGGAAGTTTGCCTTTGCTTAAACTATCCTTGTCACTTGCACTTTCATGAACTTCACTGTCGGTGTCAGTCTCTGAACCCCGCTGTCGTCTTCTTTTAGGGACAACTTCAAAATCAGAACTCTCACTTCGTGTTTCACTTTCTTCTCGCTGTCTGAGCGGGCCTGAGGGTACATGTTCTGTTCTGGGCTTATTGTCTCTATACTGAGGATAATCTCTAGTATGCCCTCTACCACCCCTTCCACGTCCTCCATAAGAGCCTCTATAGCTTCGACCTCTGGAGTAATATTCGCCTCGGCCTCGGCCTCTATATCCTTGATCTGGAAACCAATCTCTGTCTCTAGTTTCTTTCCAGTAGGTCCTAGGGGGCAAAGTGGATTCTTTTTTAATTGATGATCTTGAATCTTGTCGAGGTCTCTCTATACCAACATCTTTGCTGATTACTTTCTCAGGCTGCTTCTCTTCTTTGACTGCTGGTACTGTAACATTTTGTTGGTTTGCAGCTTTAACTGCAGGCTCTACCTGAACACTAGTCACGACTTCCACAGGCTTCTCAGTATCTTGAGATGGCTTCTGAGTTGAAGCTGAAGTTTCTTTTGAAGGAAGTTTCTCTGGTTCTGGTTGTACTGGTGGGGGAACTGATTGTGGCTGAATCAATGCTGGAGGAGGTGTGGGGGGAGGAAGATCTTTCTTTTCCATCTTTTCAGGTTTAACTACTTTTTCAGGCAGCTTTTCAACCTTTTCTCCTTCCTTCTCCTTCCTCTGCTCCCGTTCCTCTTTCATATCTCTAAGTACAGGTTTTTTAATAGGACCTGATCTCCTCACAGGTCTATCACTACCTTCTTCCCTTCTGTTGGAGCTTGGCCTTGGGCCCCAACGAGTTTCTGACTTAGATTTATATACCTTTTCTGGTTTTGGTCCTTCAGATGATCGTATAAAGCCATCCTTTCTTGACTTCTCTTCCGGTCTTTCTGTTGGCTCTTTTGAATCAATGCATCTGGATATTTTAGGAATGCTTATAGACGGCTCACTTCTTTGCTCCTCTGATTTTTGAGTATGGTTAGATCCATGGGAAACACTTCTTTTCCGAGCAGGCTGACTTTCTTCTGGAGGAGTGGATAAGGTCTTTTGATCAGGTACTTCAAAACAAGCAGAATGATTATTTGTATCAGTTTGGTGAGGTCTAATGTCTTCCACAGATCTGCTTAAAAACTTTTGTACTTCTATTTCACTTGATTCTCTGACAAAGTCTGCTTTTGGATGAGTCTCCAACTGACTATGTTCTACAGGATAAGCAGTAATTTGTTCTTGGTCCAATGCAGCTTCGGGCCTATGATGACAATTGAAAGGTATAATAAACAAAAGAGTGATTCACACATGTAAATTTAGAGTAACAACCTTCCTAATTTTAAAATATAAAATAATGGACCTTAAGGGATACAGGCTAATGCCTATCTACAATTGAATAGATAAGGAAAATGTGGTATATACATAAGATAGAATATAGCTCAGGGATAAAAAAGGAAGAAATACTGTCATATGGTACAATGGATAAATCTTTGAGCCAATCAGGAAAAGTACACCATAATTCTAGTATTTAAGGCAATCAAATTCATCAAAGGAAAACCTAAAATGGTTATTGCCAGGGGCTGTGGGTAAGTGGAAATGTGGAGATGCTGTTCCAATGTTTCAGTCAAGCAAGATGAAGTTATAAAGGTCTGTTCTGTAACACTGGGGTTACATGTAACAATATTGTATTGTACTTTTAAAATTATGGGAGAAGATCTAACTTTATGTAGGAGTTTCTAAAACCACAGTTAAAAGTTAAAGAAAAAAATGCTTAGACCATGCTATTGTGAATTTCTAGTGCATCAAAACTAAAATAATTTTCACCTAGAATGAAAGAATGAACTGGTCTATTTGTCACAATGAATTATAATTAACTATAAAACACCAATATTAAAACAAGACCCATAAAAGAGCAATTGTAACAATATTGTTATAGATCATTAGTGGTTACCAATAATTGTCTGCCACGTCAAGGTAGTCTTACAAATTAATATTTCTTAACTTGAGGTCTGAAATTTTCCATAAGACACTGAATGTCTACCATTTCTTACTACTGGAAGAATTATATTAATGCTTTAGACAGAGTAAACATTTAAATTCCCTTACATAACCTACAATAAAGGTTTGCAAATTTTAACATCTAATGCTAGGTTCAGCATCTAATTTAATGGACAGAACTAGTTTACAAAATGCTCTAATCAGTACAGAAATGCCCCCCCCAAAAAGAAAATGAGCCCAAAGATGAAATCAGAATGATCTTTAAGAACATTATAGCTTTCTTCTTTTTTACTCAATCTTATTTTTTATTTAACAATCTTAACAATTTATTACCTTACATCCTCAGGTTCTTCAGCTGCCTTGGGAGTGGTTGCCTGTTGCGGCTCAGTATGAGGATAGGGATCTGATCCCCACATCATACGAGGCTCAGACAAGGAAATTGCATGATCTCTTGCAGATCGAGCTATATGCTCAAATGACTCAGAACTGCTTGGTGATCCTTCCATCTGGTCTCTTCTCATTAATGGCTTAGGAGGAATCATTCCTTAAACAAAGGTTCAGGAAAAGATGAAATGAGTATTACGAAAAGTAGACGAAACAAATTCATGATAGACAAAATGTAGATTATTAATTACTATCTGGAATTGTCTATAGTTAAAGAACTTTTTGTGAGTAAAACTGTAATCCAACAAAAATTTGATGGAAATTATATAAAAGCGTTCTGTGAGTGAGATTTTATTACTGTTGTGAAAACAAGGAAAACCACAATAGTAGCCCATTTTATATTCAAAGAAAAAAAAAAAATAGGGCTGGTGGAGTGACTCCAGTGGTAGAACGCCAGCCTAGAAAGTGTCAGAGCAAGTTCAAACCCTAGTTGTCCACCCCCTCAAACACTGAATCCCAGTTATGAAAAACAGATACTATGCATTGTAATTAATATAAACATCATGAGAATTACATTAAGTGTATTTCATATAGCAAATTATCTTAGTTGATTCATGTGAACTCTATTAAACATGCCACTTTAATTTCAAAATATTGAGATGTAATTTTTTTTTTTTTGGTGGGGGCAGGGACAGCATTCAGGGTCTGTGTACCCCAGGCTGACTCTGAACTCCTTTCTCAGCCTCCAAAGTATAGGGATTACATGTGTGTGTCTGGCTCAAGATTGGAATCTTGATGACATTTTAGCACCCCTAAATTTCCCTCAGTATTATTTTGATAATGGATTATCTGGATATTTTCTAATGGGCTCCATAAAAATGCTATTTATTTATTTTTGGCTAATCTATGAATAAATTTAAGCACTAAGCTGATATATGATGGAGGAAATTAAAAACAATCTTATACATAACAAACAGACAAAATTCAAATGCTAAAATACTTAAAAGAACATGGTCTATAGGCATGGCTCAAGTGATAGAACCCATGGCCAGGACTTCAAAACCATAGTGCCTCCCATTCAAGCAAGAATGAAATAATGAAAAGGATAAAAACATTATAATCACTAACAGGTATGAATAAGGCAGTGAATAACCACTACCCCCAAAATTTTAAATATTAATAAAGCAGAGAAGAGCTAGCATTTTGGTCCTGCCACATAGTTGGTACATGTCTCTGCTATTTAACCACCATGTGCTGAAACTTTAAATTCTTACTAGATTACAACTCTGAAAGAAATTCTGATTCTGTAAACTGCAAGTAAGGCATAACACTGTCAATTTCATCTTACCAGGATGAATTGGTGGAATATCCATAGCAGGTCTTCCTGACATCATTCTAGGATCCATGTAGGATTGCATCATAAGCCACCTTGGATCAAAACCCATGGAAGCCAAATGTTGAGGGTGAGGTTGCATGGGCTGATAAAGAGGTCTGTGTGGTGGAGGAGGGACAGTACTACTAGATGGTTGAGAAGGAACAGGCTGTGGATGTACACCTTGCTGTTGTTGCTGCTGCCACTGCTGCTGTTTCATTTGTTCCTAAAAACACAAGATTTTACATGTTGAGATTTTCTAATCTTTGACAGTGAAAGTGGGCAAGACCAAAGGACAAGTTACAACATTTTGTCTTATACCTGATTTAAACAACCAATCACTTATTATAATGTAGAATCCATTTCTGAGGAATGGGAGATGCTAAGTATAAATGAGGTAGATAATAAAAAGGCCACAGAAGGTCAAGGTAAAACACCAACAAATGCTTATTAAAAAAAGAAAAAAGAATTTCAAGGCAAGTTTTTGTGCTTTATGAATTTAAAGTTTTATGTTACAATTTTTATGATAAATTCTTAGAATATTGAACAAACAACCTTTAAAATTACACACATATACCTACATAGTAAAACACTTTTTAATCTTTACCTGCTGTCGTTGGAATCGTGGTGGTAATGATTTCTGAAACTGTTTGAAATAGCCAGATAACATGGCAGGTCGAGGTTGAGACCCTGACTCTGGTTCTGTTTCATGTACCACTTGTGTGGGCTCCTTTTCACTGCGATTGCTATCTTGTCTAGTGAAAACTGGCTCTTCCTCTGCTCAAAGAAAAGGTAAAAGATATTATCAAATACATGATTTCTACTGTAATGAAATGATAAGATTGAGGAATAATAAAATTTAGTGAAGAGCCTTCCTCAACACTCCAAACCATCTTTGTGTATTCTAATACTGGAAGCCATGAAGAGATCAAAGATTGAAATGTTTCATCACACAAAAACTTATGTATTTTTTGTGGCAACAAAGTATTTCAGATTACACTATTTCCATATTTTCCACTTATTTAATAAATACTAATTTAACAAAAATCATTGAATTTATGTATCCAATATCATCACGCATGTTGAGAAAGGGACAATAAAGTATCAAAGTGGAAAAAGAGAGCCATATATCTGCAATACTTAAAAATCAAAAGGGTACATCTCATGGACAGACCTAGCTAAAATTACATTGTCATAAAAACATATAAAACATGAATGCAGAGCTGGGGGCTGATTCAAGTGGTATAGCACTTGCCTAACAATCAAGGGGCCCAGAATTTAAATCTAGGTATTGCCAAAAAAAAAAAAAAAAAGTGAAGTAAAGCAAAGTGCTAATTGAGTATTAAAAAGAAAATACACAGATACAGTTACCAAAGTCAAAAGAACCAGTCAGGGTCAACATGTGTTCAGTATTAACACTAAAACATGAATGTCCTTATTTCTAAGCCACAGTTTTCTCATGAAGTCAGTAAGATAGCAGATCCCTAACCATTCATTAATACTAAAGTATAATAGTAGTCACTTCTCTTGTGAGCAATGTTTGTTTCTGGTGTTATGAACAATTTTCTTAAGTGCTTATGTGCTTAAGCACTTAGGTGATATGTAATAAAAGTCCAGTCTCTCTAGATTGATTAATATGAAGAAAAGATATGAAATCTGATCATTTTAACTGAACAAATGACCCACGTGTGCCTTATCTTATTAAGAAAAAATTCTTGGGATAATATTTTATAATTTTTTGGTGGTGCAGATAAAGTTAGGGCCTTGTGCATGCAGCCAAGTACTCTACCACTGATCTATAGTACCTCTTACTTTTTTATAGTTACAGTAAGAAGGATGAAGAGAAGTGTATAAACAAAAACTTTTAATTTCTGAAAACAAATTCTGTTATAATTTCAAACAGCAGAATTTTATAGAAAAAAATAGGATCTGTGGCAAAAATGTTGTATTATTTCCATATCAAAAAATACACTGAAGTAAATATTCTATCTTAAGCTGTTCATTAGAAATTGACTTTAATACAAGTAAGCCAGGGATTTTGGAAAACATACTTGAATTCCATTAATTAGTTATATGTCTTAGAATCAGAAAAATAACTAGGGGAGCAATCAGTATATGGAACTATGAAGCCAATAAACTTTTGCACACAAAACAGAATTGAAGCTAATCTAATAACGTGAAGAAGCCACTTCATATGCTGACTCATATGTAAAATTAGAAAACATAACTCTAGTCCATATTTTGTACTACAAATGCTTTTTGAAAAATGACTTATGATTATAAACAGGGGTATTACAGCCAAGAAAAGGTAGAAGGCAAAAAGCTAATGAGGTTAACAAAAAGTTCCCTGTTAAAACATGCTCATTAAAATGAAAAGAAACATAAGGAAAATATTAAGTTTAGATAATTCACTACATTAAGATTAATTATGTCAACCAATGTTAACTGAACATAAGTGTTTATTGTGCCAGATATTACTATTGACTCAGTATATATGAAACAAAAGAAAAAGGGCAACATTAAATATCAAAATCTAAATTTACTGATAAAGGATATTAGAGTGAGAATGCTTTAGTGGCAGATGGCAGACATGAAATACCATGGAGAAAAAGATGCTGGCTGGTAAGAGCACCTGCCTAGAAAGTGTGAGGTCCTGAGTTCAATCCCCAGTACCAACCAAAAAAAAAAAAAAAGAGAGAGAAAGAAAAGATGCCAAAATATTCAGAAAGGCAGCAAATGAGCCCTAAAATGATTAAGACAGGACAACAGGGAAGGAGTATAGAACAAAAAGGTAAATGAAGAAAGACAATACAATTAGTGACACCACCAAAAGAAATCCCTAGAAAAACATCACAGGTAGAGAGATTTCTACCTTCAGACCAAGAGATCCAGAAAAGAACAGCTAAAACTATATCTAGAGCATGGCAGAGAGTGGGAGGATCATCTGAGTGATCCAAGTTTCAGTGATATAATTTTTCATTAATGTTATAAACACTGACTAAAAATTTTAAAACCACTGTCAGAAATGGCACAAGGACAGACTGGGGTGAGGCTCGAAAGCAGAGAGCTTGCTTGCCTAGCAAGTGCAAGGCCCTGAATTCAATCCCTACTACTGCCCTCTACCTAGAAACTATGCAAAAACAAGCAAGATGAAAAAAAAAAAAGAAAGGCTGGAAAAAAAAAAAAATCCATTGAAGCCCAGTGATTTAAAAAGTTCCTGAAGAGACCCTAAAATCCATACATAGTCCAGTCAGAATCCTCACAAAATATGTATTAATGGTGTGATAAAAACACTGGACTGAATCTTTAAAATGAAGCAGGCTATCATTAATTAACAATGCTGTCTTATGCAAACCACTTAATATCCCTGGTGCAGTTTCTTCATTTATATCTCAGAAAGCACAAAAGGAAAATAATAATAGAAAAGTACCTAGCTTACATAATAAACTCAAAAAACTTTTTAAATAATTTATATAAAATGTATGGTGTGTATATTATAAGTGTATGATTTGATAGATTTGGATAAAAGATTCACCTGCATAATCACTGCTCCAAAAAAGACAAAAAAAAATTTTCATCACTGTTTTGCCCCCACCTGTTTGTGATCCTAAGCATCCTCAACCCTAACCTTGAGTATTTCTTCCTGTTCTATAATCTCATAAAAGTGGGTAAAGTTATGCTCTCTTGTGCCAAGGTTCTTTTCCTCAGTTTTGAAGTATTTGGTATATTAGAGGTTTGCTCCCTTTCATTGCTGGACAGTATTCCATTATAGATACATCATTTCATCTACGATGGATATGTGGCTTGCTTCCAGTTTTAAAACTCTGAAAAAACAGCTGTGAACATTCATGCACAAGATTTTTGTAAAGTTTTCACTTTTCTTGAAGATAGCTAGGAGTAAAACTTCTGACTTACATAATAAATACAGTTTCTGTTTATAAGAAAAGTGACAAAACTTATTCCAATGCAGTCACCAAATTTTACAGTCTTACTAGCGCAAATATGTAAAGGGTTGCCAGCTGGCTCCAATATCTTGCGAACAGTTATGGAAAGGATGGCTGTCTAAGCAAAATCCCCATTTCCCTGGTGACAAAAATATAGTGAAACATGTTTCTCTTCATTACCATTTTATTATTTTCGTTTGTGTTAGGAAAAGTAGGATTTCATTTTTGTGTACTCTTGTCCTTATATCGAGCGTAACTATACTTGAATTTTTTAAATATAGCCCAGCACCAAATCCCTGGTAAAGATTATATTAAGTGCTTTCTGTGAAATATCTTTGCATTTTTTAGGAGATGGTCTTCTAAAGTTGAATTGAAAAATTCTTCTTCCCTAAATCCATTGCTGTTGGGCTTACTTCCAGAAAAGGGCCTTATAGTCCCAGGTTTGCAAAAGAAACTTCTACATTTTTATTCTAGATTGTTTTAGTTTTACCTCTATGATACAGAAATTGCTGTTAAGTGCAATCAGGGATGGAAATGAGGGTGATGGAATTGCACAGCTCACAGTAGGTCAATCCAAGAAGGCCTTTGTGGGGTAGTAATTATTCTGAGCAGAGAACCTGATCAGAGAAAGGATTAAAAAAAAAAGATGAGAGGAAAGAGCAAGTAAATAAGTCTTTCAAAGTGGGGAAAAAAAAATAAGCAACTATATTTGGTAGTAAGCCAGAAGGGGACGTCAGAATTGAATCAGAAAAAGGTAGGACAAGGATGTGAAAGAATCACAGGGGGAAGAACATCAAAACAAGGACCTTGCTACTAGTTTTGTGTGTGTTTATGGTGTTTATGTGACATAATTGATTGATAAATAGATAATGCCATAGAATAGAAAGAAAGGAAAGAAAAAGTTAAGAGTAACTTGAGGTTTTGGGCCTGAAGCAATAGGTAAATGACGTAACAATGCTACTAATTGAAATGGTTAAACAGAAAGGACTAAGGACTACGCGCATGTATAATTATTTATTGTTTGGAACATACAAATGAAAAACCTTACCAGAGGTTCAAGAAATGTTTTGGAAATGGTTTTTAATTAGAGAAACAAAAGTCGAGGTACAGTTTTTTAAGAGCAAAAGATATAAATTTAAGTATCATTAGCACATTTAGAAGACAACCCGTAGGGAAAAGATACCACATTAAAAAAAAAAAAAAAAAAAAAAAGAAAAGAGTAAGCCAGATGGGTGGTACAGACAGCTACTGGAGGGTGAAGGAAGAAGATCAGAGTCTAAAACCAGCCCTTGGCAATTTAAAACAAGACCTTGGTCTAAGAAAAAAAGGTGGCTAGGGATTGTGGGTCAGTGGTTAAGACAGTGCTTGCTTATCATGTCGGAAGGCCACTGGAGTTCGATTGCCAGTCACTGCCAAAACAAAATTAAACAAAAAAAAAATCCAAAAAATGATTGCAGCACAGACCTGAGCCCCAAACCCAAAAGATGTTAGGAATCTAAAAAGGAATAAAGAAAAACTTAATATTGTGCGGGCTCAGTGACTCACACCTGTAATACTAGGTCCTCTACAGGCCAAGAAGACTAGTAGGATCATGGGTCAAAGCCAAGACCAAGCAAAAAAATGAAGACTCCATCTTCAAACAATTAAAAGCTGCATGGGTGGCACAAAAACGGAATCATAACAGGAGGGAGGTTGCGCCACACCTACCCAGATAAGAACCACAAGACCCCTATTTGAAAATAACTGAAGCCAAAAAAGAGCTGGGAGTGGCTCAAGTGGTTAAGCTCCTTCTACTTAAACATGCCAAGACCACTGAGTTTCCAAAAACCCAAG